AATTTGCCCCCCTGCCCCCCCCCCCTCTCGGCGGCTCTGACCAATACAATGAGTCAATGAAAAGAAATAAATAATTAAAGTTCCAGGGGACTTTCAGACGTGGTCGTCGTTCTGTTTACAACGGCAAATCACAGATTTTCACGTCTTTTATACAACGCCTGCATTTCAAGCCGTAACAAGTGCAACTTAAAATTCGGTCAGTAGAACTCTTCCCAAACATAAAGCCAATGTTTTCAACTTCTTATACTGTATTAAATTCATACGAATTATAATATACGACAAGTTTTCTTTACTATCATTTATTTGAAGGAATTTGTTTTGGCCGTCGTTGTGCTTAAGCTCGCTATTATTACAGTAGCTATATTAGTATTACAGCGACGGGTCGCCGACGAACCTTAACACATACACACGAACAAAATTTGTACTACAAGTACTAGCTTTGAATAAGTGTGTACTTGTCATAGAAAAATTGGCAAAACTTGTCAAATAAAACTTGTCATAGAAAACTTATAAAGCTTCCTCGTCTGTAACCGGCTAAAGCTCAACTTGCACTATGATCTAGCGGGGAACTGGGCTACCTTTCTACGCCCGAACCAGGTGCAAAAAAGCACAGCAAAATTTATCGTAATGATGATAAAATGCGAACATTTATATCATTCATGCATGTCCTGTGACAATAAAAAAAAAAGACTGTGACAATAGTCTTTCTGTAAAATTGTGTTGTCCGTAAGTTGTGAACTATTTTACAGCATAGGTTTTTTTTAAAGCCATGTAGTACCAACATGTCAAATATGAAAACTATTGTAAAAAATAAGCAAAACAGCTGTTGACAACGAAGCAAGTACAAAAAATCCTCTACTAAACAGTTTCACTCCCTATTCACAAAAACATTCAATATACACGCATTTTTATATCTTGAGGAAGACCAGTACACGTCACACAGTATTTAAAATATTAGTATGAAAATTAAGTTTTAATTTTAATCATTCGTGCTCACTATTGTTAACTAGTTAGTTATAGTCGTTTTATTATATTATCTATATGTTAGTATATAGAAACTACTTAATAAAATTCAGTTAACGAATGAGGCATTAATAATTTGTGATAATTCATCTAAATCCAGTCTGCGTATTTCGCTGCGTCATCGTTCTTTGCATTTTCGACGTCCAATCGTTCATTCATTTGATAATGTTGCAATGCGTATAAAGGCGACGCAAACATTATTCCATAAATTATCATAATTAAAATAATGTCTGTGTTATGTTGCTCCAAACTGTACGACAAAGGGTTCTCCGCCGCTAACTTCGAAATTTTTTAACGCAGACGATGTTTGTTCTGAAAAATTTTTAACCTACAAGAAAAAGAAAAGTATTGTGTTTGGAATAATATACTGTATAGGCATCCAAAACAATCGATCAAACTGAGACGAAGTATGCTCTGGTCCGGTCCTCGTCATAACAGCGGAATAATATAATTTACTTTTCCCCCGGTCCATAACTGAACTGAATATGCATGACATGACCTGTCGCGTTTCACGCCCAAACAACCAAGGAGTGAAGATAATTTTCAAACTCAAAAAGCTACCCAAAAAGTTGAAAATCCCAACTTATCCATACTAAAGATAATAAAATAAACTGAATTAACTTCAATGCACTTTGTGTCAACGGATCTCCCATCAGTCGGTAAAAACATAATATGTATACAGTTTGTTCAAAAAAATGCGTTGGTTCCAGATATGGATTCTCCTTGCTTTGACCAGAGGTAGTATATTTTCATTCTCACAAAAGCGAGGTATTAAAAGCAAGGAAAATAAACCTCATGCAGGTAGGATTCTACCATGATACCAAAAATAGAATTCGACCATTATGAACATGCAGACAAGTTAGATTACATCGTAAAGACCGGAGTCCTTTTGCACAAACCAACCACATTCTAATGTGCCATGCATGCATGGGTGTGAGAAAGATGTGCCGTATCAACAAACGTATAGCCAAAGGGTTACATTCGGGGTTTTGCGACTGTTTTCCTTTGAAAACATTACATTTTGTAAAACCATGTGTAAAAGAGAGTGTTTGCTTACCAGGTTTATATCATGTGCTGATACAGGTTCCGCAGCTAACACAACCTGTGGTGCTGCCGTACCAGGAGGGAGAGCACCTTGAGGTATCCTTGACGATGAACTGCCTGTGTTACCATAATGTCTAAAAATATCAATTTATTTTAGCGACTATTTTAAACTTGTGTACTTCAACTCTAGCAAGCAAGTAAGTAAGCATCTATTTAGTTCATCTTACTGATATTGTTTAGCTCGTTCTATGAACTCTCCTTTTTCTAAACTGTGAGGTTCTACTGTTGTGACATCAATTACATTGCTAAAATAACAAATATAGTACATTAAACACAACAAGCTAGTAATAATTTTCGGTAAATCATTGTAAAATTAGTTTGAAAGTATTGTAATAAGGACCAGTCCTGAAAACGGCCAACATCTCCCTCACAGAGGAAATGAGAAGATAACTCTCTTTTCCCATTAGACGTCAGACAGTTGTACATTTACTACCTAACTGTTTATTATCAAAACAGATTACCCCGCCTACCCCCTCCCTTTCCACACAGCAAAAATGTCCTCCACATGGAGAGACCCTTTCACGAATGACCCATGCCAATGTTTTGAGCATCTTCCTGATGAAGGGCTTTGTAACATTTGCAGTGATTTGGTTATACTGAAGTACCGGTAACGCACCATTTTATGACAACCTACCAGACAAAACCGAAGATTAGCCCCCCCCCCCCCCAATATATTTAATGTAATGACCCAGTTTTTAATATCCAGTTCGCCAATCCCTCCCATGTCTGGGTGTTGCTACATAGCCGAAATGAACGCCTGAGCAGGCGTCTTCTTCTTGCTAGAACGATTGACTCCCAAGTTACAATAACAATGATTTCTAATAAAAAACCAATATTTACAGTAATTTGTTTGCCCTGAATCATACTAGGGAACATCTCACAAGGATTTTTACATTGATATACTGTCTGGCCTTTTGCAAACACAAAATAAAAAAAATTCAAAACTGAACATTACTTTGCTGTTTGGTTAAGAATTCTACTTAGCATTGACTGTTGATCTGATTTGTTGAATGATCCTGATGTTTCCCTTGCTCCATCACTAAACACAACAAGTATGCATGTTATTTAATTTCTTTAAAAATTATAATATACAATATAATATTATCTTATATACTGTACACTACAACTATTGAGGGAAACGGTATTTGATAATAAAATACTTCTATAATTTTTGCTCCATACTCAAGGATATTTAAGGCCGATCTACACTACACAATTTGTGCCTAAAACTGTTGCATGCAACCTGCTTACAACTTGAGTTGTGCTGTGTAAATCAAGCACACACCTCACCTAAGACAATTTACACAGTACAACTCAAGTTGTGAGCATGTTGCATGCAACTGAGTTTTAGGCAAAAGATGTGTAATTGTAAATCGCCCTTTATAGTTTATAAGCACTTTTCTATTTCGTTGCAAAAGGAACAGTGAAGTTTAATTAATATGGCAGTCAATTGAAGAACAACCAATGTATTGAGCAAATGCAGCACTGCAGCAAGCACCTATTTCAAGCGAGCACCTCCGTCAAGAAATATGGTCAGCTCCTAAAAAACTCAATGTTCTTCTGAAAAAGGGTAGTAGACTAAAATGCTTGTAAATATCCCTGATACTCAACAATTTTATTACTCATAGGTGAATAAAAGTAATGTGCACTGCTCAGAGCTGTTGCCAGTCAAATTGTGTGATTTACTGATTTTCATGTGATATGTTCTCACACAAGGAGATGCAAGAAAACATTTACTTTCAATTGACACTATAAATTGGTATATAATGATAATACCCTATTGCTTGTGGATATGAAGTTGGTGAAGTGCCAGTCCCATCATTCATAAGTGGTGTTCTTTCATTTGCCTTGTTTGCCTAAACAATATTCGAACATTTCAAAACTTTTGAATTGAATATGACGCATTATTAAAATAGTTAATAATAATAGTTGATAGTTAATGCACTATATCTGCTCTGTGTCTTCCATTAATTTAAGCACTGAATACATATACCTAAATGCACTTTTCATTATATTTTTGCCTAACACCCCATCTCTCTCAATCCACAGCTGTCTTGTTATCGTCGTTACCTATACACTGGCGCAAACCGTTTGAGATTACCACACAATTTTACTCCTTAATTGGAAACCCTTGGACAAATTCTAAATAAAGTGTTTAGATAGATAGATAGAAAACTTTATTTAAACACGTTGACCCCGTCAACCGAAGCTGATTTCCATAAGGGGTGTGCGAAAAAGTATACAGAAAAGAATTTTAAAAACTATTTACAAAATTATATAAGATATATAGTATTATATGAACTAACAAAATTAATTAGAGTATAATCTGTTTACAGGTATACTAACATCTATATTTTCAATTAGCTATCAATCAATTATCAGCAGCGACTTTCTTTTAAAAGGAAGAAAAGGATTTGCTCTCTCTGACTTCTTTATGAATAGAATTCCAAAGGTGTGATACACAAACTTTTTTTCATATTATTAGTACGCGGTTGTGGTAAACAAAGACTACTTGAAATGTTGCGAAGGTTGTAGTTTATCACCTCACCCTTATATGTGAGGAAATTAGTGAGTGGTTTGGGTCCCATTTTATTCAATAATTTGTACATCATTTTTGCTTTACTTTTCTTCCTTTCTGTTTTACTGTCGTTCCAATTGAAGTGTTCCTCAAATATTGATTCAATACATTACCTCAGGCTGACCAATTCATTTCATCAAGTTCCTCGAGATATTCATACACTTCCTGTGAAAGAGCCAATTCCAAGTATTTGATCATTTGTGGTCACTTCCTTTCTATTTATGATTGGTTAGTTGCACAAACAACAAAGGTGATTGGTGCATTCAAACTATTCAACAGGAAGTTTACAATTATACTAGGAAGTGTATGAATATTTCGAGGAACTTGATAAAATGAATTGGTCAGCCCGAGGTAATGTATTGAATCAATATTTGAGGAACACTTCAATTGGAACGACAGTAAGTGGCTTCCAACCATAGAAATAATAGATATAGAATGCGTACTCCTATCTTTTCTCAGTGAAAAATTTGTCTCCACAAAATGGCGGATTTATAAGGGCATTCAGCCTTCCATGTTATATAGTAGTGGGGCATTTTGGTTCCCAGTGGGGCATTTTGGTTCAGTGGGGCATTTTGGTTCAACAGTTTCAGTGGGAATTTCGCGCGGTTGCAGAGAGTGCAAATTGTTTTTTCAAATGCAAAGTTTGCAAAAATTTTATATCGAGACTTAAAATGGAAAAAGTGGGGCATTTTGGTTCCCAGTTTCAGTGGGAATTTCGCGCGGTTGCAGAGAGTGCAAATTGTTTTTTCAAATGCAAAGTTTGCAAAAATTTTATATCGAGACTTAAAATGGAAAAAAAAGTGAAAAAAGTGTCTAAAAACCCATTCTAGTGGGCTTTTTTACGAAAAGCAACAGTTCTGAACAGAATATATACAGAAATATCGTTTAAAAATAAATTTTCAACGTTGTTGTGCAAGCCAAAACAAAACGAAAGATCAAGACAAACTCAAACTCAATACTAAGGTATGTTCTATAAATATTTTAACTTTTTTATAATATATAATATAAATGAAGTTCAGTAATCTTTTTAAACTTACACAATTACTTTTCATATTTTTCTGTGTTGCTTGAGCTTGAGGCAACGCTTTTGAAACCATAATTTTCGACGATTATTGACAACTAAATATTTTTGTTTCAAAAAAATAAAAACCTTCGTTTACACATAGGCAGCCCAATGTTATGGTTGCCTGCCTGCGCGCGGGCGAGGCATTGTATAGTTGTATTATTAGGGAGCTTTAGATTTGACTACGAGTACGACTACGAGTACGAGATTCGTCAAGCTAAACGCATGCTGTATGCTTACGCCATCCCGTACTGACGCTAAAAAGTCGTAGCCGTCGCCCATCTGAGTACGAAATTGTGGAGAAACCTCGTAGTCCTCACGACGACTTTTCAAAAAAAACAAAGAAAGTTGACTTTTTTTGTTTTCCAAAAATAATTTGTAGCATTTATATAGCGTTTATCCAGCGCAAATAATATATTAGTCCTAAATATCCGGCCTGTTTTTAATGTTATGACTTATTTACACGTTTTGTAGGGGATTTTAGTCGGCAGGAGATTTAGTTTATGAAACTTTTTCTCTAGTTATTGGTTCACTGTTATAAAAGCAACATTTGAATGGAAACGAAAACGACTACGGTAATTTCCTCGCACGCGATCAAATCTCGTACTCGTAGTCGTACTCGTAGTCAAATCTAAAGCTCCCTAATGACTTGTTGGGGCCGGTCGTTCAAAGGCTGGTCAGCTTAATCCTAGGTCAACGCAAATTTCAAAGCAATCTTCGATCCCGACATCCTGTTTAGAAGCACGAAGATTGTTTTCCAAAATTCATGTCTGGATCAATAGAAGATTTATTTTCCAAACTTTTGAAATAAACAGAAGTGCAAATGTACCCAAACCAAAACAACAGGTTAAACATACGAACTAACGAAGAAATACAGGTTTAGCGTTAATCCAGCTTTGAACAACCGGCCTGTCGGGTCTTGCATGGTTTCTAAACTAACAGCAAGAACTGAAAATTGTGGAACGGCTGCCATTTTTCATTTTGCCTGCTGTGGAAATCAATTTTGCTATCTCTGATATATTTTCGGTGTGATTATCAACGAATCTGCAACTAGAATTTAAGAAAAATAGGACGGTATAAGACAAATTTGATTATAGTTTATCGTAAATGCTCATTTAGGCCAAAACAAAAATATGTGGGTTTCCGGTTTCCCGACCCTACCTAGCTTTTGGACGTCGAAATCCCGACCCTAAACTTTTTTATTGGATCATGCATTCATGCTTGTAAGTGTTTCAACTTAGAGGAAAAACTTTGTGGAAAATTGAAATTTGAGGCAATATTAGGGAAATTTATCTTGGATGTGGAAGCACTGACTAAACAAAATGGCGTCCGGTTGTTCGGAAAATTTTAAAAAAAAGTTTAAAAAAAAAGTTAAAACCGACCTACCCTACCTAAGTTTTTATAAGAAGAAACCAGAAACCCACATATTTTTTTTTGCCTTATGCCTTTGCGCATACTTACAACTCTCGCGAATTAATCTCGATACAATCAACCCAGCGAAGGAATATTGTTTAGGTTTTTGATATTTCTCGGAAGGTCTCTCGTTATATGTATCATGATCATTGTCATCATCATCTTCTGTTGAAGTAAAAGTCCTGTGATATATAAGAAAGAGGATTAAAGCCTTTTTCCATCCTTCGCAAGAGTCTACTCACTGCAACACTGAGAGCTTGTTGCAACAGCCGACAGTCACTGAAAGCTTGCACCAGCCGACAGTTACTGAGAGCTTGCAACAGCCAACAGTACTGAGAGCTTGCAACAGCCAACAGTTACTGAGAGCTTGCAACAGCCGACAGTCACTGAGAGCTTGCAACAGCCGACAGTCACTGAGAGCTTGCAACGGCCGACAGTCACTGAGAGCTTGCAACAGCCAACAGTCACTGAGAGCTTGCAACAGCCAACAGTCACTGAGAGCTTGCAACAGCCAACAGTCACTGAGAGCTTGCAACAGCCAACAGTCACTGAGAGCTTGCAACAGCCAACAGTCGCATTGAGCTTGCGAGTTGATTTTTGCGATGAGTAGAAAAGAGCCTTAAGGGACTGGTCATTATTTATGGCGAGGGGTGGCACCGAAGAGAAAAGGGTTGGGTAAACAAAATTTTGAGTGAGTAAAAGGTTGG